AAAAAAAAAAAAAGTTTATGTACTTTAAGATAAAGTTATCATGACATTCTTTATTATGCATAGCCAAAATACTACTACATATAACAAAAACAATAATCTCCTAATATCACATAAAGCTTACTACATTTTCAAATTCACAGATATGTGATTCTCACACATTGAAGGTTGGTGGCGACTCCTCATTAAGTCCATCTGTCAGTGGGATTTTTCCCAACAGCATGTGCTCACGCCGTGTCTCTGTGTCACATTTTGGTCATTCTTGAAATATTTCAAACTTTTCATAATTATTTTATCTGCTGTGGTGATTTGGGATGAGTGATCTTTGATATTCCTATTCTAATTGTTCTGGGGCACCACGGGAAACTCAATAGACAAATTTTTTGTGTTCTGACAGCTTCACGCATCAGCTGTCACCTCCATCTCCCTCTCCTTGGGCCTCCCTCTTCCCCGAGACACAATATTGAAATTAGGCAATTGATAGTCCTGGAATGGCCTCTAAGTGAAGAGTCCCATGTCTTTTATTTAAAATCAAAAGCTAGAGATCATTAAGCATGGTGGGGAAGGCATGTAGAGAGCCCAGATAAAATGAAAGTTATGAATGTGAAGGAAAAGTTCTTGAAGGCAATTAAAAATGCTACTCCAGTGAACTCATGAATAAGGAAGCAAAACAGCCTCATTGCTGGGATGAAGAAAGTTTGAGTTGTCTGAATGGAGATCAGACACCATATTCTCTTCAGCCAAAGCCTAACCCAGAGCAAGGCCCAGACACTCCTCAATTCTTTGAAGGCTGAAAGAGAAGAGGAAGCTACAGAAGAAAACTGTGAAGCTAGCAGAGGTTTGTTCGTGGAGATAAAAGAAAGAAGCCATTTCCATAACATCACAGGGCAAGGTAAAGCAGAAAGGCCGATGGAGGAGCTGCAGCAAGTTATTCAGAATTAGTTAAGACCATGGAGGATAGTGGCTACACTAAACAACCTATTTTCCATGTAGACAAAACAGCCTTCTACCAAAGTGCCATTTAGGACTTTGACAGCTAGAGAGGAGAAGTCAATGCCTGGCTTCAAAGCTTCAAGGGGCTCAGGCTCGTGCTTGTTACGGACTAATGCAGCCAGTGACAGC